TGGAGGAGGCCCTGCAGAAGGCCAAGCAGGACATGGCCTGCCTGCTCAAGGAGTACCAGGAGGTGATGAACTCCAAGCTGGGCCTGGACATCGAGATCGCCACCTACAGGCGCCTGCTGGAGGGCGAGGAGCACAGGTGAGATCACCCCGGGGAGGGTGTCTCCTGAGTCTCCCCAACAGTGCTGAGCATGTTTGCACACTATTTGCACCTAACGAGCATTAAATTTGCTTGGAGAAGGGAATTTACAAGTTTGGCTCCCCACAACTAATCCTTGTCTCTGTTTGCTCCCCACCAGGTTGTGTGAGGGAGTTGGTTCCGTCAACGTCTGTAAGTAATCTATGCTGTTACTTCTGAGTAAAGACTTGGGGTTCCCCGGAGGGAGGACATTTTCCTGGAAGGGCAGCTGGTGACTATTTTAGGCTCCTGGGGTGGGGAGCCTTCTGAATACTCAGCTGTGTCTGTCACTGACAGGAGCCACAGCCATGACACTTCATGAGTAAGGTTGTTGGGTTCCCGTAGATCTGTACTCACAAAACAGGCGGCCACGGGGGCAAGGGGCCTTCGTTTGAAGGATCTGAAGGAAGGGGGGACAGTGCAAGATTCGGATAAGTAGCTGCCCCACCTGGAGGGAGGGGCCCGCTAACCATTTACCGGAGATACCCAGGTCAGGCTGCAGCCAAAGGTGTCCAGGGTGAGGAGTTGGGGGGGTGGGGCAGTGGGGGGAGGGCCAGTGGGGGGGTCGAGGTGAAGGGGAGGGACTCTGAGCAAGAGAAGTGGCCTCTGCCCAGCTTCCCAGGGACTGAGCCCCGCCCCACCCCTGTCCCCTCCACCCCTCTCCAGGTGTCAGCAGCTCCCTCGGCGGGGTCGTCTGCGGGGACCTCTGCGTGTCCGGCTCCCGGCCGGTGACCGGCCCCGCGTGCAGCGCCCCCTGCAGCGGGAACCTGGCGGTCAGCACCGGCCTGTGCGCGCCCTGCGGCCAGAGCTGCGGCGGCAGCGTCCGCTCCGTGCGATTTGCCTAGTGCCTCGGATCTGCAAACGCGCCCTTCCGCCGACCGTCCCTGCCAGGCGGCGGGTGCCAGCTCAGGACACGGCTGACCCCGACGGGGCGGGGCTTCAGGATCCTCAGCCTGACCGCCCACACCGCGGCCCTCTCGCTCGCATCCAGCTCCTCGCTAGTCTCTTCCCTTCTCGCGGCGAGGGCCAGGCTGCTGGACCACACGCCTGGTACCTCTGCCCATGCCCAGGCGTCTAAATGGCCTCCTCACAGCCCCTGGCAAAGGTCCTGCCCTGCGGACTCAGGCTGCCAAGGCACAGATGGGCCAGCGTGCAGGGGGACCGCTGCCTCTCTGCCTCTGACTCCTGGCAACCGCGGCTTCCCCGCCCCCTCCAGGGGCCCCTGGGGCGCTGCCTAGCTACCTCTTTCTCGCGCTCATGCTGGGTTCCATGTTGCCAATAAAGCTCACGTTCCACGTAACTGCTCAGAATCTCCTTTGGTCTGTGCACATGGGCTTCGGGTTCTGCCCTCCTCCCTGGGAGTTTGCTGAAGAGCTGTGCTCAGCCGTCTGGGGGTGCAGGGCATTGCACCCACAGACCCAAAGCTGTTGATGCGCAGAAGCTGGAAGCAGAGCTGGAAGGGGTGTAGAAGGGCACCAGCAGTTTCAGCCCAGCTCCCCCAAATCCTGCAGGCCTCCTCACTTGCTGCTGCCGGAACACCAGGGGCCGCCCGCCAGCCCACCCACCCACCCCCACGCAGGAAAACCCTGCCATGGGAGCAAATAGAGGACCCCCCTAAAAGCCAACCATCTGAGGCAGCACCGCCACCAGCTCCCCTCTTGCGCACCCCAGGCACAAAGCTCTCCCCGCTGGCTGCTGCGGGCAGGAATAGACACTCCCTAGCGAGGGGCACACTCAGGCCCCCGTCAGAGACAGACGCAGACACACTGACACCCCACCGAGCGCAGACTCAGGCCAGAGATGTCCTCCCTCGCCCGCTCCCCCATCCAGAGGCACAGCCTCCCTCCACCCAAATGCCCGGGCTCAGAGGCCCCACCAGGGAGGCGCCCCGCACCCTAGTCCCCTTCCAAACCAACAGACACCTCCTCCCTCGTCACCCCACAGAATCCGCCTCAGAGGCCCCCTCGAGGGCCCCCGCGGCCCTAAGAGCCTGCACCAGGAAGGGCCCGGGCAGCTGGTCTGAGTTGGCTGGTCAGCCCGAAACCCAGGCCTGGGGCAGCTGAATGTTTGTGCCTCTCACCACCAAGGAATGCGCTCTGGCAGCTGAGGCAAGGGGGTGGCAGCCGCAGCCCTCCCCCCCAGCAGGAGATGCCTCCCTCAGGCAGCCAGAACCTCCCCGGCCTGTGTCTTGGCTTTCTCAGGAGAGGGGCTGGAGTCTGCCCAGCCGGGGAGCCCAGGCCTCACGCTGGACCCAAGCTCCTGGGAGCAGCACCCCAAACCCCATGGCACCAAACTCTCGCATCTCCTGCACGAGTGGCTTCCAGCTCCCAGGGCAGACCCCGCTTTCGAGGGCCTGTGCCCACCCCTTCCGCACCCCACCTGACGCAGCCAGGATACCAGGCACAGGGCGAGGCGCTCCCCCAGGCCTCAAAGGGGCTGCTTTATTGGGGTCTCTTCTGACATCTGTTTTCGAGTCACCGTGGTGTCTTGGGGGCCAGGGAGGAGACAGGAGCGCACCCTCCTGGGTCTGTGGGAGGAGGGTGTGTGGCTCCCCACACTTAGGGCTCAGCTGTGAGCGTTCCAGCTGGTGACGCACGAGGTCTTGGCAGAAAGGGTCTTGCAGGCCACAGGCCCCCTGCCACTCGAGAAGCTCAGGGCATTACTGCCCATGGTCCCCCCAAAGGTGAGTCTGCTGCCGCTGCTACTGGTGGTTTGCACAGCTGCAAGAGACGGCGGAATGTACCCCGTCAGCGGACCCCACCGGAGGCTCCCTCCCTTCACTCCACGCCACCCTCTTGCTGCAGCCCCTCCCCCCAGAGCCCCCACCCTTCCCAGGGACCCTGGGGCGTGGCGGGGGCTGCGTCCTCACACAGCTGCCTGCACAGGCACCCACTGGAAGCTGCTGAAGGACAGGAGGCCACAGCCCTCACCAGAGCAGGGTCTCCAGGCCGTGCCCATCCTACAAACCCAGCCCAGCCCGCACAGTGCGGGTTCAGGCCCCAGCCCAGGACTCACAAAGTTTCAGTGTTCTCATTCCGTCTTCGGCCAACCTGGAGGGCAGAGGCGAGAGTGTGAGCAGGCTCTGTCCCCCCACTAGAGGAAGCGGTCCCAGCACCCTCCTCCTTTGCACCCCCCCTTCCAGGCTTCCTTCAGCAAAATGAGCCAGGGGAGGGGCTCTCGGGCCCTCCTCTCTACCTCCAGGACTGGGCTTTGGCTCAGAGCTTTCATTTCCTCGCCAGAAAATGAGGCCTAACTCAGTACCCACTCACAGCGTTGCTGGGGAGGGCTCAGTACCATCGTCCACGAAGCCCCGGCGGGCAAGATTCTGCACACGGTGGCTGCTTTTATTATTTATGTAGTCAGGTGTCTCCCCTCACCAGACCATAACATCCTGCAGCCTACTGATTCCTGGACCTCCACCCCCGAGCACAGATCTGACACTAGTTATTACTTAATGTGTGTTGAAATAATCAGTGAATTGTTGACGGAGTGAATTTAGCTCCAGCTGGGATAAGGAGGGAGAGGGTAGGTAGGTGGGGTGGCTTTAAGCTGCCTGTGGGACTGAAACAGGTCTTGCACTGGAAATTAAAAATTCATCTGAGACATCTGGGTGTGCTTGTTTTGTGACTCACAGCCCATTGTCACCAAGCCCTTGGCCTTGGGCATGAGTTTACTCTGAGGGAGGAGGGGAGACCTCACTTTTGTGGCAGTGGGAAGGAAGGCCCAGCAGGCCACAGCTGCCCCAAGCCCAGGAAGGGGCAGAGCAGAGCCCACGGGCAGTACGGGGGTGGGGAGACACCCCAGGAAGCTTCCAGGCTCCTTCTACTGCAGGACCTCGCTCAGACATGGTGGGGAGGGAAGCCGGCTGCAGTAGGGCAGCAGAGTCACGTAGGAATGCCTGGCACAAAGCCTCGAGACCTCAGAAGGAAGGTTCCAGAATGTCTAAGGCTCTTGTGGTTTTTCTTTTTCTTACCTCATTCTAAATAAATATTTGCTTTTATGCCTAATTTTATTTCTGTAACTTTGCAATCTGAAAGGGCCCTCCAAATTGCATGAGCTTCCAAACCACAAACCCTGGGGGTTAAGGAGGAAAAAAGAAGGAATCCATCTCTGTGCACTGGAGGTGCACTCACTTCAGAAGAGCCAGACCTGGGCCCTGATGAGAGCGACCTGGACGGACCAGGCTTCTCAGGCAGCGTCTGTAATCGTTGTGTGATCTTGGACATGGCACCCTAACTCCAGCCTTCAGCCTGCCCATGGGGGAAGTGAGTGGATCAGGCCCACTCCAGGGGTCTCTAAGCCCTGACTCCTTTTTTTTTTTTTTTAAGATTTGTTTATGCATACAGAACTGAGGTACAGGCCAGAGAGGATTCACCAGAGTGGGGAGCAGAACAGGCAGATCGAAGAAGCACACTGCTGAGGGGAGCAGTGGCCAGGTCAGGAGAGGTCTGCCGCGCCATGGGGGTCACCTCCCTGGCCGGGATCGAACTCGTGCCAAAGCGGCTGCTGATAGCTTCGCAGTGCTGGGCTTTAACCCACTGTGCCACCAGGGAGGGCCCTGCGCTCTGACTTCTATGAGAAAAATGTGTTCCCTAGAAAGTGGGGTCCCTCCCTGACACAGGATGGTGCAAGAGAGACTTCAGCAGGGGCAGCTGAGCTCTGGGGCTGCACTGTGCCCCCAATCAGCTGCTCTCTCATCCCAGAGGCCTCTGATGTTCAACTCCTTTTCCCACAAAAACTAAATGCCAAGCGAGGGAGGGTCAACTGCAGTGGCTGAGAGCCTTCCTCTCCCTCCCACCCCTCATCAACCCACAGGCTGCTGCCACCCACATCCAGGCACTCTGCCCCCAGCACCCCCTCACTCCCCAGTTCTTTCCCCTCCACTCCATTCATCCTGAGTTCCCTCTTCCCCACCCCTGGAGGAAAGTAACTGAAAAGAAAACAGCTCTTTGTGAATTCAGCATTTTGCAAGTGGCAAATATCTGTCTCCCAGATCAATAGGCCTCTCCAGGTAGATCTGCATGGTAGATCTGCATGACCTACCTTTGCCTTGGGTCCGACAAGCCAAGTCATGATTCCTCCTTCTAAGCCTTTGTTCCTGCAGTTCCCTCTCACTCTCTCCTCCAAGTTCTAAACTTCCCCAAGGCACAACTCTAAAGCCCTGTCTGTGGACTGAGCAAATGGACAAGCCCATCAATGAATGAATGAATGAATGAGTAGTGAGTGGATGAATGAATGAATGAACCAATGAATGAATGAATGAATCGATGAATGAGTGAGTGAATGAATGAATGAGAATGAAGGCCCCAACTTCATGGACGAATGAATGAATGAACCAATGAATGGGAATGAAGGCCCCAACTTCATGGACCTATTTCTTCTGTGAAATTTGTGAAAAATTCCCTGCAAGACTTACCCCTCCATCCCAGCCTCCTCTCTGGCTGGTGAGTAAGCAAATCTCCCTGGAGTCAGGGGGCAATGAAGCTCCTCCACCATGCTCAGTCGATCCCGCAACCTAGCGCTTTACTTAGCAAGAAGTGGCCTGGTGCGGAGGAAGACGCTGGGCCAGGGCTCAGCAGAACATGACTGCACACTGGCCCCGCCCCTTCAATTACACGGAGCCACAATTTCCCCTCCACCGACTAGGGGATCAGCACTACCTGGCCTGTTTACCCAAATGTGCTTTGAGGATCCAGTTGCACCAATGGTCTGCTGGTGACCACACTCACGAAGGGACTCTGGACACTCAAAGCTGACACCACAGGGTCTTTCCTTCTAAAACGCCATGACTTCAAGTGGAAAGGGGCATCCGCTGAACCGCCCTGGACCGCCCACACCCCCTGCCCTATGGAAGAGGATCCACAGGCAACACTTCAATACATGAACCTGGGATGGAGCCCCAGGCCAGCTGGGCATTGAGGGGGCGCCCACCCGGCCCCCCTTCCTCACCGGCTCTCCTCGCCCTCCAGCAGCTTCCTGTAGGTGGCGATCTCGATGTCCAGGCCGAGCTTCACGTTCATGAGCTCCTGGTACTCGCGCAGCTGCCGGGCCATGTCCTGCTTGGCCTGGGTCAGAGCAGCCTCCAGCTCGTTCAGCTTGGCCTGGGCGTCCTTCAGGGCCAGCTCCCCCTGCTCCTCGGCCTCGGCGATGGCGGCCTCCAGCTTGTCTCGCTGTGGGCAGCAGGGGAGCTGTGAGCCAGGGCTGGGTGGCACCAATCATTGCCTTTCCTGCCCCCATCTGCCATGAGCTGCGGGGCAACTTGTTACGGCAGCTTTCTGGGCGCCAGCCTACTCCCCCAGCACCAAGGAATCCCAAGGGTCAAAAACACGGGCTGTGATGCCCAATGTGCACGTTCCCTCCTGGCGCTTCCTCTTCCTAGCTCTGGGACCTTGGGTGAAGCAACTCTTCTAAGCCAAAGTCTCCTCTTTTCTAAAATAGCAATAATCGGGCCTCCCTGGTGGCACAGCGGCTTTAAGTGCAGCCCTGCAAAGCTGGCTGCAGCCACTGCAGCATGAGTTCAAATCCCAGCCTGGAGTTGACCCACAGGGCGCAGCAGACCTCTCCTGTCTCCCCACTGCTCCCCTCAGCAGTGGATTTCAGACCATCTGCCTGGCCTGTTCTTGCATGTATGTATAAATGAATAAATCTTTAAAATGTTTATTTATTTAAATAAATAAATGAAATAGCAAAAATCACAGGGATACTGCAGAGGTTAAATAAAATAATGTGCAAGGCCCTGGCCCAGCATCTAGAATACAGTGAGAACCTAACACACGCTGCTATGATTAGCATTGCTAACAAAGGTTTCTATGATTTACAGATGCACAGAATTTACAGGTACACAGACCTCAGCCAAAGCCCTAGTTTGAGTGTCCAAGTTTCTGGCAGCTGACGAGCACCAAAATCTACCTTCAAAATAAATGCTCAATATGGAACAGGCCCAGCACAGGGGGTGTGGGCAAGAGATGCTGCTTGGAGCCCTCAGACCAAGCAGTCCCTGCACTGGGGGGCTTATCCCCCACAATCAGGCGCTGATGTAGTCCCAGGCCTCCGCTCGTCACCTCAGAGGCCAGCGGCAGCCACGGCAGGATGCCGCCTCGCCCCTCTTGCCCACCATTCTCCACCTCCCCTCTCCCGTCAGCTCATGCCGCTGCCTCCCGGTCCAGCGCCCCCATCTGAGCCAGGAGGCCCTCCAACACCCTCGGCCCCTTGCCCAGGGATCAGCACCCTTCCCCACGGTGCCCCCCGCACCGTCCCCAGTGGCAGGGGTGGTAGACACCCTAAGTCTGGTTCTCGCTCTGTCCTGCCATAGGAGAGGAGAGCTGGACCGGGCAGAAGCTGCGATATTTACGAAAGTGCCGCTCATCACTCTCCCTCCCCACCTGGAAGCTGGCACACTTCACAGGTGATTCACAGCCTGTGTCTGTGCCAGGAGGCGGCCTCCGCCCCGGTACAAACAGGCCTGCAGGGATCCCAGGGAAGGACATCACTGAATAAATCACCCCCCCATCCCATCCCCCAGCTCATCTGGAAATTTCGCCCTGAAGCTGCTGTGCGCGCCACCTTCCCTCCACCCCTCGACAGACACCTGCTCCCGCTGCCGCATCCAACCTGAGCCTCAGCGCCCCGCCCCCACTGCACGCACGTCCTCCCAGCAGCCCCTCGGACACTGTGCCCACACCGTGGGCCAGGAGCTGGGAACAAAGGCGCGTGAGCCAGACAGAGGGCACCCCCCTTCGCTTTCCACACTGCTCAGAAGTGGAGGGGCTGGGCTGGTGGCCGGGCTGGAGGGGCCATCTCTGGGAAGAGGCCTTCGACCTAAATCCCAGGAATGGGAAAGGGATGGCCGGGCCCAGCTGGGCAGACCACATTCCAGGTGCAGGGAAGACCGAGTGCAGGGGGCCTGAACATGCTTGGCAGACAAGGCACAGGAAGCCGCTCGTGTGGCCAGCGCTGGCGGTGGGAAAGGTCATGGGAGGGGACGGCATTCCTGCGGGCCTCTGTGCCTCCCCCAGGCTGAGGCACAGATAGAGCCTGATGCACCCAGAGCAGATGCGTGAAGCACGTGGTCGGTACCAATTTGGGGCTGGACGGTCGCTCCCCGACTGGCCACCCCTCCTCCCTCTGGCCTGAGCCAGGACCTGCCCAACATTCTGTCTGGAGAGCTCACTGGAGCTGATCAGCCTCCTGCCCCCTGAGCTTGGCCCAGGGGCTGCCCCTCACGGGCCCCAAGGAGCCCGGCGGCGCGAGACGAAGGGTCCGTCCCCACCTGGTTCTTGATGTTTTCGATATCGGCTTGCAGTCTCTGGATGGCTCGGTTGATCTCCAAAATCTCGTTGCGGGTGTTCTTGAGGTCCTCCCCGTGCTTGCCTGCCTGGGCCTGGAGAGTCTCAAACTGGAAGGACCACACAGAAACATGGCAGGTGTGGGCAGTCACAAGTGGCCGGTCGTCTCTGGGGCCAGAGAGGCCCCAGGTTCTGAGCAACCAGGCTCCCATCTTCCATCCCAGGGAAGGGCCTGCCACCCCCAGCAACCTTGCCCTAGTCCAGAACATCAGACTATGGAGCAGTGGGGTGTGTCCGGGCGCAGCCGGGCTCAGCCTTCTCCAAGCCCAGATGGGAGCACAGGATGGATCCCTGGGACCCATCACCATTGACTTGGGACTCCCCATCCCCACCACGCCCGGTGCTGGAAGGCCAGTGGAGGTGAGACTCTCGCTTGTGAAGCACCCACACATCAGCCCCGCCCATTTCACACCCAGGCCGCGGAAGGCACCAGAGCAAGAGCCTGGACTCGCCGTCCTGGCTGGCACACCCACGTCCTCACAACTCCCTCTCTCAGACAGGCATCCTTGCATGCTCCTTTTACACCCTGCCTCAGGTTCCCTCCCCAGAGAGGTGCTGGACGCCATTCTCCACCACCCCCCAACCCCCTGAGCACCTCCCCGGGGCTGCCCCACCTCCAACATACCCACGACCTCCCTGACTAGAGCTCTAGGACCCACAATGCAGCCCCGGCTCGTCCACCTGCTAGCTGTGCGGTTAGGAAAGTTACTTGACCTCTCTGTGCCTTAGTTCCTCTTCTGTCGAACTGGGGTAATAATGTGTCTGCCTAAGAAGGCTGTTCTAGGGGTTAAATGAGGCAGGGCAGGTTAAACAGTTGCCGCCGCACTCCCTCAAACTGGGAGCACCTGGCAGATTTTAGCTACTGTAACTATTCATCCACATCCATGTCCTCTGCCCTAAACCCCATGAGGCCAGGATCTTCCCCTGGACAGTGGCCTTTGCATCCTCTTCCTCCAGGCACTGGAGAACACCCACAGACTAACTGACCCACCCTCAAAGGCTTGGGCCAAGCTCAGCAGTGAAGGAAGCTTCTATCCCACCAAGTTCTTGCCAAGAGGGCTGTGCTCCCGGTGGCCTCACACCTTGGTCTGGTACCAGGACTCAGCCTCGGCCCGGCTGTGGTTGGCGATCTCCTCGTAATGGGCCTTGACCTCGGCGATGATGCCGTCCAGGTCCAGGCTACGGTTGTTGTCCATGGACAGGACCACGGACGTGTCCGAGATCTGGGACTGCAGCTCACTGATCTCCTGTGGGGGCCAGACAGGAGGTGGGGTCTTGGGGCGCCACCCAGGCCCCGTCCCACGCTCACCCTGGGGTTCCCCACACGCTACCAACAAAAACGGAAGCCAGGGCCAATGTAGGCCTCAGTCGCCAGGCATTTGAGGCATGCACCCAGCGCCCGCTAAGCAGACCCTGTCCATCCTGACACCCCAAAGAGCCCATCACAACCTCCAAGACCAGAGCGTCTCCAGGGAGGGAGGTAAAGCAAGCGCGTGTGGTGAGCTGTGAGGGCCGCATGCCACAGAGCTGCACGAGCATGCCTCCCCTCGGCAGCCTTTCGTCCCGCCTGTAAGGGCTGAATGTATGCCCAGGGAAACACGCGTACTGTTGCCTGAGAAGGTATTGTTATTAAATCCGTTTCTACAGCCCTGTTCCATAGCCACAATGTAAGGCTGCAAAAATGGGTACCAAGATGACAAAACTCAGCCAGCCGGTCTGCTTTAATTTCACTCTTGACTCAGTTTTTGGAACAATGAGGACGTACTTCTTCCACAGGAAGCACGCATGCGCACGGAATGTGTGCTACTCCTGAAAGACCTGCCCTGAGGTTACAGCTGCTGGAAGTCAGCCTCAGGGCCCAAGGCCCTAAAATGAACACGTGTGGGAATTCACTCCACGGGGCTGATGCAGGCAACAGGAGAGCAAAAGAGAGCAGAGACCTGGCCTGAACCTTTTGCCACTCATGGATTCCTGTGCCCAGAAAGAATAAAGAGCAGGCTGAATGGCTGCACCCTTCAAATTGCCCCAGAGGCAGGGGGTAGACAGATGACCCCACCAGGAATCGTAGGGGGTGACATGCTGACCCCAGAGGCAGGGGGTAAACCAGATGACCCCACCAGGAACCGTAGGGGGTGACATGATGACCCCAGAGGCAGGGGGTAAACCAGATACCCCACCAGGAACCGTAGGGGGTGACATGATGACCCCAGAGGCACGGGGTAGACCAGATGACCCCACAAGAAACCATAGGGGGTGACATGATGACCCCACAGGCAGGGGATAGACCAGATGACCCCACCAGGAACCGTAGCAGGTGACATGACCCCAGAGGCAGGAGGTAGACCAGATGACCCCACCAGGAACCATAGCGGGTGACATGATGACCCCAGAGGCAGGAGGTAGACCAGATGACCCCACCAGGAACTGTAGCAGGTGACATGATGGCCCCAGAGGCAGGGGGTAGACCAGATGACCCCACCAGGAACTTTAGCGGGTAACATGCCTCCCACCCCCAAAGTCCTAACCGCCTCATAGAGGATCCTCAGGAAGTTGATCTCATCTTTCAGGGCGTCCACCTTGGCTTCCAGCTCCACCTTACTCATGTAGGCGGCGTCCACGTCCTGGTAAGAAGGGAAGAGGGACACCATGTCCTTAGGGCACAGAGCATTTAGTGGCGCTGACCAACCCGCAGAGCCAGGGACCACCTCCTCCACTGAGAACATGGTTTCGCCAGGTGCCTGACAGGACGTTTCCTCTATAGGCCTTCCTGGCTACAGGACAGATGTCCCCGCACACGCCAGGACCTGAGGCGCCTTCTCAGCACCAGTAGCCCAGGGCGGCCTGCAGACCCTCACTTCGCAGCTGACGGGTTCCCGAGGGCGCCCCGCGCAGAGACACACATCACTGCCTCAGCACCCCCAGCTCTGGGACCTTGAACAAGTCGCGCCAATCCTGCGAGTCCCAGCCTCTCACCGTCAAATAAGGCAGAGTAAGCCCAAGGCAGACACCGGCAACCCTCCCCGAGACAGCACGTCCACGCGGGTTAGCTCAGGCGGGTTTGCTCTGGCCGTGGGCTTGGAACCGGAGCCGCTCAATCCGCGGCTCGTTCACTCAGCATCTCAAGTCCAGCCCCGCTAAGCTACGCCCGAGACCTTCCAAGCTCAACCTGCACCTGTCCAGGGACAGGAACTCACTGCCTCGAGGCTCTTCATGCGTCCCTTTGGGCCCCCTTGTCTGGAGTGAGATGTGTCGCTGATGGAGCGCTCCCTCACTCCGTGCTCAATCTGCCTTTTCAACCTCCATCCTTTGGTCTGACCCCCGAACAAGCCTAACGGCTCCCCAAATACCCACACACATATATGCAAGGACACACGGGCGCACCCGAGCCACACGGGCTTCCAGGTGGCCCCGTCTTCAGCCCAGCCTTCCCTTCCTACTTCGCAGGCCAGACCTGAGCTCAGGTCCCCGGGGCAGCTCAGGTGGGAGCCCCACGTGGCATCCCTTCCCTCGGCTTTACAAACACCCCAGCCCGTGCGCCCGCTCACCTTCTTCAGCACCACAAACTCATTCTCAGCAGCCGTGCGCAGGTTAACTTCCTCCTCGTACCTGCAACAGAGGTTGGAGCGTGGGTACCCGACCCAGCTCCGCCTCTACCCCCTCGCATGCAGAGGGGAGAGAGACTGCCCACCGGGCTCCGCCCTCCCTAACGATACACCTGAACAAACAGGTGTCAGCTCTGAAGCAGGTGTCCCTGACCTCTCATGGCTACCTGACGGCGTTGCGCCGGACACGGGAGGGAGGGTGGCGGAGAGGATGGGAGCAGACGTGAAGGAAAAGGCAGAGTGGTCGCCGCGCGGTGACCTCCGCGCACAGGGGCTGCCCCATGTGTGCTCCCCGCGTGAGCCCAGGAAACCTCAGAACAAGCTGCAGCAACGGTGCTGGGCGACCCCGGGCCGGCGGGTGGCACAGAGAGGCGCAGGGCTCTGCTCAGTGGCTGAGCAGCTCTGTGGCAATGCCTGACTGGCAGCCTGGCAGTCCATGCCAGACCGAGTCTGTGCCGGGCTTCAATCTAGTCCCACCTCCTGGGGGTGAAGAAGGGCCTGGAGAGAAGGAGCCCCATGGGTCAGGAAGGGACACACAGAGTCCTAGCCCCAAGCTGAACCCCACAGCCCCACCCCCATCACGCTCTCCCAGGGAACCAGCCTCCCACACGCAGGCATCAGCACGCAGGACACAGCGAGCCTGCAGGCCCGGTGCCGGCCACTCTTTCATTGCTCCTATTTATTTGGGGAACTCAGCGATACCCAAGAACTGCTGCGTTGCAGCTGGGGCACCCTGGAGGGTGGGGGGAGCAGGGTGCTTGGAGAGGCAGAGCCCCCCCAGGAGGCTGGACTCCCAAGGTCCCCTCCCTGAGGTCTTCTAGAATGACCAAAATACCTCCGCGCCTGCCTGGCCTCGGGCACTGGTCCAGAGACTGCGCCCAGGGGAGCCCCATGCACAGCTGCATCCCACCCCCATCCCCCCCCCCCCCCACCCCGCCCCTGCCAGGGTCTCATCAGCCACGCCCTAGGGAGGCACTCAGGGCTCCTGGGTCAGGCAGTGCTTGAGCCACAGACAGGAACCCAGGACAGCAGGGGCTCCCTGGCTGCAGAGCAGCAGGGACCTTCCCTGCCATGCACCTGTCTGGTCCACCTGCTGTGGGATTAATTCTGTTGACTGTGGCCCAGGGGAAGTATGGGGGGAGGGCGGAGGGGGAACCTTCCACAGAGGCCTTTGTTTGTTCTGCCTCCAGTCAGGGCCAGCAGGGCTTAGTCATGCACCCCCAGGTGCACAAGCACTCACTTTCCCCAGTGCTGGGCTGGGAGTGAGGTTGGGGTGAGGCGGAGCCCCCCAACCAGCCTCAGGCTTGGGTTTCTATTCAATGAGAAAAGAGAGTGCAGGTGCCTCAAGGGCCCTGCACAGCCCCCCTTCCCCGCCCCCCCCAGCTCCCAGCCTCCCTCCTGGTCTGCCCTGCCAGATGCACCCTCAGCTTCCACACTGCTCCCCCTGGCCCCCAAGGATTGCCTGCCCCCCCTTGCTTCTCTCCATTCCAAGTGACTCCATGTCTCTTCCTGGAAGTCAGGGACCCCAGACTCAAGTCCCAGCAGTCCTAGTGATCGGCTTTGCCAGCTCAGGCCAGTCCCTGACCCTCTCTGGTCTCTAATTCCTCACCTGAAAAACATGGAGCTGCTCTAGAATAATCTGGGAGGTGGTACAAATCCTGGCACCTGTTATGGGGCACCTGGGCCCTGTCCTCTCTGGGGAGAAAGTGAACCAGGTCAGGGCTAGGAGGACCTATTTCCCTGGGTGTTTCAGCAGATAAAAATGCTAGGCCAGGCCCTCCCTGGAGGCGCAGTGGGTTAAAGCACAGCACTGAGAATCTAAAGCCGCTTCCACATGAGTTCAATTCCCGCCAGCCCCGGAGGTGACCACATGGTGTGGCAGACCTCTCCTGACCCGCCCGCTACTCCCCTCAGCAGTGTACTTCAACCATCTGCCTGTTCTGTTGCCCACTCTGTCTCTGGTGAAGCCTCTCACCGCCCCTGAGCCTCTGGCCTGTACCCCAGTTCTGTATGCACAAATAAAATAAAATCTTTAAAAAAAAAAAAAAAAATGCTAGGCCAGCCCTGGCAGCACAGGGCGCGGGTAGGGGCTGACCTTGCGGATTCCGGATTCCGATAGCCCTGGCAAAGGGCCTCCACCCACATTCCTGGAGGCCGCCAAGGCCTTCACTTCCTTGGCTGTTCTGGGTTGCAACCCTCCCCCCTCTCCACGACCCTTGGGTGTGAGTTCCCCTCCCTGCACCCCCTTGGCACGGGGCCCCTCCATCTCGGAGTCCCGTCCAGCAACCGCCCCAGTAAACCTCTCTCCTCTAAGAGCTTTGAGTGGGCCCCCTTCAGCAGCACCTTACAAAAATCAGCCCCAAGGGCAAAGCAGATTTGGGAGGGGCAGGAAGTGCGCCAGTGGAGACCTTCCCTGAGGTGCTATGTACAGCTGGCCCCCCAGCCCTGCCCAGAGGGCACTTGCACAGGGCGCCTAAGGGCCTCGGTGGGGACAGCGTACTTGTTCTTGAAGTCCTCCACCACCTCCTGCACGCCCCGCAGCTCCACCTCCAGGTGGCCCCCGTCCAGCTGCAGGCTCTCCAGCTTCTTCCTCAGGTGATCCAAGTGAGCCTCGAAGATGCCTTGGAGGTTGCTGCTCTTGGCTGACTTCAGCTCCTGCAGCAGGGCCCACTTGGTCTCCAGCAGCTTGTTCTGCTGCTCCAGGAACCGCACCTGGCAGGAGAACGGAGGTGGAAACGTGCGAGACCACACTGATGTCATTTTCTGGAGTTAGTGGCTTCAGAGTGCAGGGTCCTGGGCTTCCCTCTGGGAAAGGCATCCCCAGAGCTCCCCGTTTTTGCGGCACGTGGCGAGTTTCTCCACGAGACAGACGTGTTATATTTGAAGAGCAGGATTTTAGCGAAAAGCACAGAGGAGTAAAGGACACTGGCATGGCACAAGTGGGCAGGAAGAGTTGCCCTGGAAGGGACAGGTTTGCTGAGAGAGGCCTGCAAGGCCGCGCGGCCTCAGGAGAGCGGCCTCTGTGAGGGAGGTCAGTGCAGAGAACCCGGGCCGGCTGGTGCAGGTCCCCAGGTGGGAGGTGGCTGCCTTGCGAGGGAGAGTGGGTGGTGCAGGCACAGGCGGGCAGGACCGCTGCCCTGGGCCCCTGCAGACTGCCCAGATAGAGACCTGTCTCGGTGGCTCACTCCTTCTGAGCCTGGGTTTGTTGCTAATTTTGAATAAGCTGCGTAGGATCTGAAAGGGACAGGAGATTCCAAACGGGCTCAATCTCCATATCTTTCCCTTCTGGTCTGACTGTAGACAGTCCCTACAGCCGTCTGATGCCAGCTTGGATCTTGTGTTCTGTGAGCTAGGCATTGGGGCCGGAGGATCTCGGTCCTGTTAGCTGGGTCTTGTCTGTTCTACCGCCACCTCCAGCTCATGGCATTGGGTGAGCCCGGTTTTGGGGCCTCCTTTTCTCTGTTCTCACCCTCCATCAAGACCACGCCCCCCCACAGCAGGGCTGGGAGAGTCTCAGGCCACCAGGCAGGCCCATGCGTCCACTGGTCATTCCACATTCTGGGCCCCAGCCCTTGCCCCCTCCTCCAGGAAGCCCACCTTGAAGCTTTTCTGACAGGACCGTATCTCAAGCATCTTAGCGTGTGAAGGGGTCAGATCTGCCTGGCTCATCGGTGTGTCCTGAGGCTCGTGACCTAGGGTCTCCTACCTTCTCCGCTCCTGGTCACACGCAGGTGACCCTTAAACTCCCTCTCCGAGGACTTGCCCCTCCCAGTCTGTCCGGGACCTGGCTCAGCCCCTGTCCCTTCAAGCTGGGCCTCTGCTCTTCCTCCCTTAATGCCCTTTCTCTCCTTTCCCTTCCCTCCAACAAGGCTTGGGATAAGGTGCCACAATTAAGTCAGCGTGAAATGACACCTACTATGTGTCTGACTGACCCAGCGAGCCAGAGCAGCCAACAGCAAGGGGAGCCGGCCCCGCTGGCCTGGCAGCCTTAGCGGAAGGCAAAGGGTCAGGGAGGGCCCGGGACAGGGAAGCAGACAGGTAGAGGCAGCCGAGGGGAGACCTGGGCTCCGCTAGGAGGCAGCCCCAGCCAGAGGGTCCCAGCTGGGCCCCTGCTCCCGCCCCGCCCAGGCCCTCTCCTGCCCTCCCTGCCAACTCTCCCACCTTCCAACTGGTTTCTGTGCTCCAGGGACCCTCAATCCTCCCATCACCCCCAAGTGGGTTACCCCAAGGCAGGTGTAGCCTCATTTCCCACCACCAAAGGGAGGCGCCTCCCTCCCTCCAGTCTTCCATTCCCAGCATCTGCCTCAGCACAGACAGTACTGGAGAAAAAGGGGTTCCCCTCAGAGGGCAAGGGCCTGTCACCCCCTACTTCACGCTGACCCTGCACAACCCCTCTCAGAGAAAGGGGTCTGGGAGGGAGAACCCCTGCCCTGGCCACTGCCCAACTGCTAAGGGCAGACAGGCCCAGGCCCCACCCAGACACAGGTGGCCAGGGCCCCGCAGACCAGGGCTCGCTGCCAAAGGAAAGGGCAGGGCGTGTGGCAGAGAAGAGAGCACCCAGGAGGCTGAGGGGCACAAGAGCCGCGGGGTCCACCGGAAGGGGTGAGGCCGCACTGCTGGAGGGGACAGAGAAAGGCCCCGGCCCAGTCCCCCCACCCAGCCCACGCCCAGCGCAGCCAGGGCTGGGGCCAGCGGTGGACGGTGGTGGCCGCTCACCTTGTCGATGAAGGAGGCGAACTTGTTATTGAGGGTCTTGATCTGGTCGTGCTCCTCCTGGCGCACCTTCTGGAGGGTGGGGTCGATGTCCACCCGCAAGGGGACCAGCAGGTTCTGGTTGATGGTCACCGCCTGGATGGCGGAGCCCACGGCGCTCCCGGGGAAGGAGCGCGCAGCCCCCAGCGGCCTGCAGGCGCCCAGGCCGTAGAGGCTGCGGCTGCTGAAGCTGGCGGGACGCGTGGAGCTGGAGCGCATCTGCGCGCCGCGCGCGCTGAAGACTTGGCTGCCCAGGTGAATGGACATGGCTGTGGACGTGGCTGGACTTCGAAATGGCCGAAGAGGGGCCCGACTCGCTGGCCTCCGCAGCCCTGCCGCTTTTATCCGCTAGACGAGGACAGGACGGGCCGCGCCCAGGTAGGGGCGGGGCCGCCGCGGGCCACCCTCTCCACCAGCCGGGTCGGGCCCTGGAGGTGCTTCTGCGCCGGCACCGCCCTCCCCTCCCAGGCCCCCGCTTTCAGTCCCAGCCGGAATGGCCCAGACCGGACGGGGGAGAGCGGGAGAGCGCCCGGGATCCCCTCCGCCCTCTGCAGGTAGACTCAGCCCGGGAAACTGCAGCGCCTGCCCTCTGGAGTGGGTTCAGTCAGGGAAGGCTTCCTGAAGGAGGGGCAGCGGAGCCCTTACTGGTGAGGCAGAGCTGAAGGCCCAAGGAGTAAAAGACTGTGAGGAGAGAAAGTTCTAGCGCAGGAGTCAAGCCCAGACTCTCCTCCCACACTTGGGAGGGTCAGAAAGGCCTTTCCTTCCAGCAGCCCCCAAGCCCAATTCTTCCTTGAAAGATCAGCCAGTTCCTGAGTAATCCGACCCCTGGGTGGGTCTGGCCTGGCTGGTTCGCCTGGCTGCCCGCCTGCAGCCCCTCCCATCTATAAACAGCGGCTGGACTTGTGGCCACCTTCCCCCCACTCCAAGAGGCATCTGAACCTCAGAGGCAGGAGCCTGTGCACCCCGCCCCCGGGCCCCCAGTCACATTCCCGCTCACTTACTGTATCTGTCCCTGCAGAGGAAGGGGACAGATGTGTCAGCACCCCCGCGGTGCACACCTGAGGGCCCCTGGCCACTGACAGCACCTCCCAGGCAGAGTGCGTGCTGGTGTGTGAGCATAGCGTGTAGGTGGGGGCGCATGCAGGGGCTCTGGCTGCCTGTGCACCTGTCATGCGAGTCTGTGGTTACCTTCAAACGCCCCCCAGCCCGCCATTTCCCTCATCAACGCTCTGCCTGGTGGCACAAAGCGTCAGGACGCAGCACCGCCAGCCAGCCGCCAGTTCGATCCCCGCCCCGGAGCTGAGCCACATGGCGTGGCAGACTGCTGCCCGCTGCTGCTCCCCTCAGCAGCAGACTTCTTCTGTTCTGCTCCCCACTCTGTCTCTGGTGAAGCCTCTCCCCGCCCCCGCACCTCTGGCCAGTACCCAGTTCTGTGTGCATCAATAAATAAATCTTTAAAAGAAGTGTTCCAGCTGCCATCCTATCCACACCCCCCACCCGGAAGCCACTGCCAAATAATCACCAGCACTTTCACAACCAGCCCCAGAGGGGTGACAGAGACCCTGGAGGGAGCCAGCGCCTGCTGGCCTCCTTCTGAGCGGCCTCCTGTCCCACAGGCCACAGGCCCCAGGGGCCCAAGCCCCTGTCCCCCCAGACCCAGCTTGGCTGGGGCCAGGCCTAGCAGCCTCAGAACAGACACTGCCAGACCCGCTGTCCCGGAGCCTTCCGGCTGCCTCTAGACCTGACCCGTCAGTCAGGTCAGTCAGGTGGTCACCTCAGACCAAGCCAGGTGGAGGGGGCGGGACAGAAGCGCGTCCTGGCTTCAGGTCAGTGACACACATGGAGGACTTCCGGCCTCGGCCCCGCAGCGGCCTTCTGTGTGAGCCCCGTGCAGGCGTGGCCTCGCCTGCCTTCATATTGACGCTGGGAGCGCTCAGGCCTGAGGCGGAGGGCAGAGGGATCCCAGCAGGCCTTCAGGGTGCGTGCGTGAGAGGTGCTCCCAGTATGTGTATTCATGGGGACCCCACGCCTTCACTCCTCGCAACCCCCCAGCAGACAAAAGAGCCTGAGTGTTTCATTTTCTCTCTCACACACACACTCCACACTCCCCATCAACACACACATTCACGTCCATACACACACACAGACACGCATACACACCAGGTGTCTCACACACGCTTCACCTTCTTACTCCCCAAAGCTCATCTCAACTCTTTTTCCCACCACCTGCACCCCCACTTCCCTACTCCTCTACTTTCCAACACCACCCACATTCTGCTGACAGGGCCTCCCACCCACAGCACCCCCCAGACTCTGCCCTCTGCCTACACACCCGCCCACCCCCGGAATTCCTCCCCCTCCTCTGCGCCTCCCGCAGAGTCTGACCTGAGACATCTCTGGCTGGCTCTGCTGATAGCCTGTCTTGTGACCCCTGACCAGTGCCCGCCCTCCCAGGTGACAGTTTCTTCGCCAGAGTGGTGTCTGGGATCCCAGAAGGGCATTGCCAAGGCCAGCAAGCGGGCGGATTTCAGGCCCAAGCCCAGCCTCCCCGTGAGCACAGCCCCACTCCAGGGCCCCCTGTGTCCCCCTCAGCCTCTCCACCCCTGAATGCGCATGTTACAGCCATAAGGAGAGTCACTGGCCATCTCTGCATGAGGTGTAATTCTTAAAACAACGGTCAAGTGAGTGGTAAAGACGATGATGGATCCAGAGCAGGACGAGCCGCAGGAAACGGGGTGGTGGCCAGTGCCCAGTCCTCGCGCTTCACAGGTGCTCCCCAGTAAGGCTACACGCTCTTCACCCATGTTGTTCTAGCACAATCCTATGGGATAAGTATTAGACACTCCGTAATGAGAGGAAACTGAGGCATAGGGATTAAGTCAACAGCCCGAGCTCATACAGCTGGTGTGCAGAACCGTGGCGGTGTGAGCCACTGGATACTTAAAAAAAACAGCAAGAAATGTCAAATAGCAGAGGCGGGGGCTGTGGGGGAGTGGTGGAATTGGCCATTTTCACAAGCCAGACAGTCGAAGCCTAAAATGTTTGATAACAGAGCTGGCAGGTGAGCAGGCAGAGGGCAACCATGGTCAGGGCCAGCGGGCTTCTCTCCAGACCTTTGCAGAGTGGACATGGATACACTGACCAGGAAGTGAATGTACCTGCTCAAGAGTTTCCGGAATGTGCCGACACAAAGCTCCCTCCAGGCCTGTAGCTTCAGGCTTCTAAGAAGCTTCTGGTTTGTCCACTCTGGGCTCTCCAAGAATACAAACTTCCCCAACCCCGCAGCTGATGAGCTCGTTATCCTGTTGCTTGAGTGTCCAGCAAAGGGGTAA